TGCTTCTTTGCTCCAAAACATTATTCATATTTCATACTAAGTGCACACACATAATTATGAAGAGTGCACAAATAATTATGACATGTCCGAACTTCGATTGGTTATATAGAGAGCTAGACAAAATTTTAAATGCGAGAAACAGATACCAACAAACGTTATCTAGCAGCAGTATTGTAAGTATTCATATATAATTTAAATCTAAAAAACTATATCTTTTTACCGAAAAGTTGTCGTAAACGTATGACATTTTTTATTGTCAATATTTTGTTAGCAACGAGCTACAATTAAAAAATATCATAGCTTGAAGACATATACGCAACAATGAATGAAAATCATAACATTATGTTTTGTTGCCGACATATGATTTCATCATAATGCTCAAGATAGAACCTTTAATTATTTATTGCTGACATGTTGCTTACATGTTGCCGACAACATAATGTACCACTATTGCTAACCATTTGCTTTTGAAATTTCATTAACTGTTTATACGTATAATTAAGCTGTTATAATGTTGCTGCATTCATAATGTGTCCTTTTTTGATGTCAGTAAATGTATGTCAAATATGCAACAACTGATCATGCAATGCATTAGTTTACTCGATATGATTAATCACGCTTGGTTATCTGGGTTTTTAAGAAAAGTTTTCTCGAAAGCGATCGAAATTACGATCTTGTTTTCCATGATTTTGTCTGTTCATCTTCGTGACTTACAGGCATCGAGAAGCAATCGTGTCCGTATATAGTGTCGGCGCACCGACATCGTATCAGTAAGGCTGGAAGATCTGTTACCGCCGCAGGTTTACCCATTCTTCCAGCGTTCCACAGTGGACACCCTAGAAAAATTCCAGAAGGTGGAAGCATTTTGAATCGAACAGATGGAAATAGTGATACAACTATTCGACAATGAAATCGTACATAAAATCTGCAGCCCAAATATATATATATATATATATATATGTTTCTCTTTATTCTTATATAACCTTCTCGGTTTCTCCTCTTAATTCCTTATAATTTCTTATTATTGTGTCTATATCACATCTCTTAATTTATACATTCATCACGTTTCTATTAATTATGTTCTTTGTATTTTTTAAAATTAATTTACTGCTGCAGTCGACAACACGCCGCTTCAAGGATAAAAAATACAAGATTCTGAAGAGCCGGTACTGGGTGCAGCAGCGCGATTTGAAAGTGGCGACGGAGAAGTACATGATGAATTTGAAAAAGGAGTATGAGAAGCTGCAGCTCGCCGAGATGCAGAGGAAACTCAATTCCGCGTGAGCAGACGCCGTACGTCATACTCCGACACCTCATCCATGCGTCACTCGAGTACAGGGTTGACAGGGTAATGTGCGAAAAGCTTTGTAATATAAAATATATCTAATATAAAACGAACGAACGATACTATATATCTCCGAAAATACCGAAAATACTTTTAATAAATTATCTATTGAATGGTGTATAATTTTATGACATATCACAAAAATGAATTTCACAAGGAGATCCGTTTTCTTCGAACAAGATCGGAAAAAACGGATCTCCTAATTGTGAGATTCATTTTTGCGATGTCAGTAATTGTAACACAAAATTATACACCATTTAATAGATAATTTATTAAAAGTATTTTTATATAAGCGCAATGATATTGTAGTGTATCATAATTCTTATTGCTGTTTGTATAGATACTCTATCGTGGAATCGCTGAACTCTATGAAATCCGTCACAACACCCATGAATATAACACCCATCATGCCGCTATCGCCAGATTTAAAGAAACACGAAGTATAGTAGAACCGTCGATGGTTTTCGCGTACCCCGCCAACCGTAAACCTTCGAAATCTATCGTTTCCTAAATATATCGTATCGAATTGAGTTAGCATTATAAGACATTATCTCATATCAATTTATACACAAAATCATATTTCTCATAATCTAAATTTATTTCACGGGAGATACAAACTTTACATACTAATTCATGTATGTTCTACACTTTTCTTCAAATCTTCAATCTTCTTCAACTTCTCATTGGCCTTTCATATGGCATATCTTTTGCAATGGTATTATTATTTAAGAAATTGAAATGTATCTTGTGTTCTCTTCGGTTGTCCTTCTTCGACAATATGGATATGTTTTAGTTCTGAAACAATTCCACAGATGAAGCTAAACAGTTTCGTGTGCAAGCAATAGAAAAAACTTTCGGGAGTTATATAGGCAGTGTTCCAAAATTCACTGATAATGCTGAAAATCTATAGGTCACGTAACGTAAACTATATATTTTTTCAGTGCTAGCAGTGAATTTTGAAACAGCCATAAAAGCTTCTTTGAATAATAGACAAAAAGAAAGAATTGAGAGAATGCAAAAATATTTGATGCACTTATCCAAATCACCTTTCGAGCCATTGGATTAAACACACATGATGAAAAACATGCCCTGCACACGGTGTGCAGACAACCTCGCTGGATGGTTCTAGCAAATCGTTACATATCGCGAACATTATATTCATCTTATTGCTGATGGAAATGCCGTTGATGGAAATTCGATCCCTGATGAAAAATTTTTTCTGAATTTTTTTGAAAATTTCGCTGAAAAAATCTGAAAACATTTTTCAGGGATTTTCAGTAAGAATCAGAGCCTTTTTCAAGAAAATTCAGACTTTCAATGATATCTCCGAAAATCATTTATAAAGTATCTAAAAGTTATTGAATTTCGCTGAAATTCGAGATTTTAGTGATGCTGAAAATTATATACTTTCATGGTTTCTTACTTTTCAGAGACTGTCAGCGATTTCTCTGAAAATCATTCACAAGTGTCTGAAAATCTTTGAATTTCGCTGAAATTCTAAAATTTAGAGATCATGTCTCTAAAAATTATATTTTCATGGTTTCTCATTTTTCAGAGACTTTCAGCAATTTCTCTAAAAATTATTTACAAGTGTTGAAAAGTCTTTAAATTTCGCTGAAATTCTAAAATTTAGAGATGTCTCTAAAAATTATATTTTCATGGTTTCTCACTTTTCAGAGACTTTCAGCGATTATTGCTCCGAAAATCATTTACAAGTGTCGGAAAGTCCTTGAATTTCGCTGAAATTCGAGAATTCAGTGATGTCTTTAAAAATTATATGTATTTTCATGGTTTCTCATTTTTCAGAGAGTTTTGGCGATTTCTCTGAAAATTACTTCCAAGTGTCGGAAAGTCTTTTTGCTGAAAATTTAGAATTCAAAGGTATCCAATCAGCAGCAATTATGTATTTTTAAATGGTTTTTTAACGTTTTTTTTATTAATCATTGATTTCTTGAACTCATTTTAGAAAAAATATTTATTTAACATTTACTTAATATTTCTTTTTTATTAAATATTTATTTACAATATAATTATTTCTAAAAAACGTTTTTTAAATCTTTATTTAATATTTTTAAGTATTGATTTTTCATGAATTATTTATGTGACAAAATTATTTCAGTAAACATTTTTTTAACATTTATTTTTGTAAATATTTATTTGTCATTAATTTGACATTTGAGACAATAATTTCAGTATACGATTTTAATATTAATTTTTAATTTTATTCTATTTTTTTATAAATATTAAAATTTTATGTTTATAAATTTTAATATTTATATAAAAATATATTTTTATTTTATTAATAACTTTATTGATCTGATCTATCACGGATAATGTATAGTCAATAACATTGAGTAGTCATAGATCATCACGATCAAGTGTCTGCAGTTCCTCACAGAAAGTCAAACAAAGTTAGTGGCGGTAATAGCTTGGATGGGTGACCGTTAGATTTAGATATTTAATTATTCTGCTTAAAATTTCCGATTAAAACCAATTGACAACCCTGTTTTAAAACTTTGATTAAAATTGATTTTCAAAATTGGAATCAGCTTTAATCGAATTAAAATTTTGCCATTTGATTTTATTATGTAGAGGAAATTTCTGAAAATCTCTAAACAATTCTCTGAAAAAAGATCGGAAGAGCACA